CTCACCCGACGGGCCATAATGATTATTTCGCCGTTCCGCTCGGAGGCGAGCGCGGGAGCGATCAAAGAATGACCCCTCGTATTACGGGCGCGGGTGATGAAAGAGTCTTGAAGAAAACGAGGAAGGAGCATTAGAAGATTAGAGATATTTAATCAACAGCTCTCTCTTTCTCCTGCGAAGAAATTTAATTTAACGCTTCCAGCATAGTGAAAATTCCTATCTCGTTAATGACAAACGGTAAGAAATTAGCGTTTGTAATTTCAAGTTAAATTTTTTTTTTAAATTGCAAGATTCGAGAATGCAATATCATCGACTGCATTTTATCCCGCTGCTTTATCTTAATATAGCATCTAAAAGCGTATTTAATATTTTTATTTGATTTCATGAGAGAAAGAGAGAATAAAGAGTATCAATTTCCGAAAGATTGATTCAAAGTGGAGGGCTAAGATTTAAGGGATCCTCGCGATACAGCCGCTCGCATCTCAAACGAGAGAGGAGGCCGTTGCGGGCGAGACGCACGGGAGAAGAGGGGGGACCGACGATTTTTATCGGGGTGGTAGATCGTCGGGCTGCTTTCGAAAATAGGAAAAAAAAAGAGGGGAAAAGGAAATAATTGAAAGACCCCGGGCCGCGCGCGATCGACGCGAATAAAGCGCTCGGGCGGGCGGACGGACGCGCGTTCGCCGCGCGAGCGCGCTCGAAAGAAATGCGTCGGGTAATCAGTCTTCTAGATCTCGATAGTTTTCTCCGGCCCCGGAGTCTTCCGTTTACCTCTCGCTCTCCCCTATCTAGATCCACCGAGCGCCGCCGCCGACGCCGACGCCGCCGGCGGGAGAGGCGGGCTTAATGAAAAGTGTTTGCCCCGTAAAAGTTAAGATTAATTGGCGCTCGGGGGGTGGTTACCGCGATAATCAGCCCGGGCCAGTGGTTTTCAAACCCTCTCTGGCCGGCCCTGTCGATCGTATTCTTCTTCGGGCCGCGATCGAATGCGTAGCCGCAAGCGAAAGTTTTCCTCCCGAACTGCTCGTCATGTTACACACCGTATTGCACGAAAATGTTTATACTTTTTAATACTGTCCCGTATCTCTCAGGAGGATGAAAAGTGCAGTAAAACTTGGCCGGTGTGTAAACACCTCTCTCTTGAATTCAAGCGCAATCTCGAGAGATGAAGTCTGGAAGAATCTAAGTAGTTGAAGAAAACCATTTCAAAACCAGATAGGTTTCCTTCAATTATGAAACTCGTGTTTTTCCTGGGTCTGCAGTACTACAACGCGATAGGTATTGTGAGGAAAAGGGCACGATTTTTTAATGATTAAAATCCTATTTTTATGAATTATTGTTCAGTCGCGCGAATTTTCGATAATTATGATATTAAGACATTCAGTTAAATGATCGTACTTTTAATATAATTTGAATTTAAATTGAAATCTGTCTATATAAGTTCATTTAAAATGTGATTGTTGTTCGAATGCTACACATAATTTTATAATGTTAATCGCTTTCTTATGTTAATTATTAAATATTTTTCATTTTATATTCTCTTCTATTTATACACAATACATTATCATTAAAATAATAGAGATAACAGCCTGAAGAAGTTACTTCAAAATCTTGGAAGTCTTTCTCATTGTCATATTCTGCAAATTTATATCAAAAGTCTATCAAAAATTATCCGTGAAGCAGCAGTCCATTATCGGCGATAATCATACGGCGACATAATTAGAGAAATTTAATTACGCTCTTTCCGAGCAGCGCTTTCGTTCACGGTTGAGCACAGCTGGAATGGGAGGTTAATTTGGCGACACCTAGTTTCATTAACAACGCCATTAAAAGTAATGGCCGGTGAGGGGGCGAAGTCGGTCGCGAGGCCTCCTAGGGGGCTGGGAGATTCTAATTACGGAATAGGACTTCCCTGGTGGAGTACGTAAGGCGTAGGTAGGGAACGGGAGAGGAGGTCAAACGCCGGATGTGGGGAGGATGGGCCATCGAGTCGAAAGACGCCATGATATTCGTTAAACGGCATAATTGCACCCTCCGGAACGGAACTCGCGTAATTGCCCCGAGCACGACGACGTCGCGTCGTCGTCGTGAAAAACTTATCGTCCGAACTGATTATTGAAATCGCGCGATTAATTTCCGCATTTGAAATGATAGCTAGAAACGAGCAATGGAAGACATCTTCTATGAAATCTTTTGTTACGTAAGTTTCGATGAAAGCATATGATAAAGATTGTTAAAAATGTGCTGGGCCAATTTTTTATATTGGCACGTATCCGTATCGTGTACGACAATATAGTTAATGTAACAAGGTGATAAATGTGCGGATAAAAAGTCCAAGGTGGAACGATAAAGCAAGAGTGATAAAAAAAATTTCTGTGTAAAGAAAATTAATGATTTTCGTTAATTGAATAGTATTGAACAAATTGTGTATATATGTGCGCGCGCGAGTTGTATATCCAAGCTGATAAAGGGGATAATGAAATATATCAAGATGCGATAATATTTCGCACGTATAACTTTAATAGAAAACTTATAAATCGATTATATAGTTTCATTTGCTATTATCACCCGTTAATCTAAAGTGGAGCGACGTAGTTAATGACGGTGATGGCTTATTTATCGTGGTAATAAAATGGCTATTTCATTAACCTATTTATACCAATAAAATCGCCAATGTACAATCCATTTGATAAATACCTACAATGATTCATACGCATCTCTGTATTATCAGCCATATTAAATATACGTAACATTGCTTTAATTAATCGTGGTAATTAGAACGAAAATGGAATGTAAATAAATATACATAATTTAATTACTTGTCCAATTTTGTATATAATATTTAAAGAAATACATCGTATGACACATTATGATCATGCGCATACTTATCAGCAACAGATGTATCGATAATTACCATCGTATCGTTAAACAATGGAAGTTTGATAAAGAATTAAAGCAACTTTAAATTTTTCGCAATAAATATAACAAACAGTAATTAATAAATTTTTCATTTCTTTTTTTAATTTGTACGAAAATTTGAATAGAATTATTACCGTTGTTCTAAACAGAAGACCAAACAAGTTCAATCACAAATACATTTAATAACTACAAAGTTATATTGGAGAATTTGTTCACGCTACGACCGCTTTTATATTACATCGGCTAGTAAAACCTATAGAATATTTTATCCAGAGAACTCCACAGAAGTAAAGCCTTTTATCTCACTGATTTCACAAATTCACATAAAGTTTGGGGTGCCCTAAGTGTCACTTTAGCGATATGTAAGCGAACGAAT